CAAGTCACACTCATCGTCTATGCAGTTTAATCTTCTACTTTCTGCTTCCAATTGACTTTCAAAAAGAGCCATCGATAGCCTCACCATCAAATAGTTGCTGTTTGCATTTGCTACAACTGGTGCTACTTTCCGAATGACCTGCCTATCGAAGAAGACGGATATGGAGGAACTTTTGACGAAGATTTGCTTTCCGCAAAAAAAAAAAAGAAACTGAAACGAAACAAGGGTTTGAGTTAACATGCTAATTCAGAAGCCTGTCATATTTTTACAACGCACTGTTGTGCTCAAAACGAGCAGAACCAAAAGCAAGAAATTTGATGATACTAGCCTTGCAAAGGTCGAGTTCGGTCTGCACTTGACTCTCTAGCGACTGAATATAAGTGAAGATAAGGGGGAATGAAATCATGCACGAGGTGATTGCGCCGGTGGCAAGCACGATTGCCAGGAAGGCGCTTGCCCTCATCGAATGAGGGCGCGGCTTCTGATCGTCCATTCCTGGAACCAAGTACTTTGTTAGAATCAGTCCTCAGTTTTCGTCCCGCCATCCAAAATTCTTATGCGAATTCTGTTACCAAGCAACTTTAAAGACTGTTTTTTGAAAAAACTTGAAATTGGATATTTTCAAAAAATTTAATAGTGGAAATATCGATTGATAAATTCTTTTTCAAAGATTTTTGCAATAATGGAGAATCATTGGCGACGCGTACCAGGTAGGCCAGCGCGATCATGCGTTTTTGCAGTATTTTGTGCTGTAGTAAGGCCGCCTAGAATCCCAATGGCTGGAATTTGTGATGGTCCTCGAAGTTCAAGGAGTTAATTGTACAATTACGTGGTACTTGGACAGGGAACATTTTCAGGCCCCCGAGTCAGCAATTTTCCAACCAAAATTATCAGCGATTTTCAGTGGCTCGTTTCTGAGAACCACGCAAGCCTGGGGGTTGGATTTAAAATCCTTTAGTTCTACGTGGCTAGGAAACATCTCCTCAAAATTTCAGTTATGTAGCTTTTCTGGTCCACGAGTTAGCAGTTTTCCCGTCGAAATTTTCCTGCGTTCATATGCGGGACCCAAACATGCTAAAGGTTGGTACCGCGGTCC